TCTCAGAGGCTCAGGCAAAAACGGCCAGGCTTCTTTTGAGCTGGCCTCAGAAGTTTGAAAATATAGTTTTTGCTGCATTCTTTTTGTTGATCGGGTCACATTGATTCAAGGGCAAGAGAATTAGATTCTGCCTCTAATGGCAGAAATGTCAAAGAATTTGCCCTATCTTTAGTCCTTCACAGCTTCTCTTAAGAAAAAAGAGCCTTTAAAGGCTGAACTTACACCTCACTGAAAACTTTCTTGTAATTTAAAGCCATTTTCCTTATTCTGTCTCATTGAAGATAGTCAAGAGGCAACTAAAAAGCTTTCATTTGCTAGCAATAGTTTTTATAATTAAAGATATTTACATCTTATCTGCAATTGTATTTTCCCTGTCTACAACATGAGATGCTAAAACTTATATTGTACTTTCCAGCTCTAATTTTCAGGAGTCTCTATGGAATGCTTTACTTGTCGTTTATAGTCTTTTACAAAAAGTCTAAAAACTACTTCATAAGAAATACTTATTTTCAATGACTAAACTACAACCACTCAAATAACTGACAAAAATTCCTTGTCCTCAATTACTAACTACTACTGAACTATTATTGCCCAGATAGAAACAGTTCTGAATTTACACATAAAAGATAAAGTTATTACAACATTTTGAAGAAAATCTTTGAAGCTAATTATCTAAAGATTAGAGAAAGGATATCTTTTAATTAATTTGAAACCCTGGATTGAGTACTAAGCAGAAACATGAAAGAAAGATTTCCAATAGGAAGTGGTGGTTATGGAAGAGTCTCCCTCCCCTTGAGGATTACCATTTAATTTTCAACATTGATTTGAAATAAATGCTGGTATGATCTCCAAGGGAAGACTGTTTCTGTTATAAACCTAACAAAGAAGCACACAGTATAATAAGCAAAATATATGCTGTGCTCCTCTGTTTAACTAACTTCCATAGTCTACACTTTGGTTTCAATGAGGGTACATTTACACTCTCTGTCCTCTCACATAAATGTCATGGAGGGTGAGTCTTTAGGTGGGGTGTACTTCAGGGCTTTCCTGATCTTTTTATTTGCTTTCCTTCCACCCAGGATCCATGTTGCGTGGCACTCTGAGTTTTGATAACAGTGAATTGCCACAAATATTTTGCTTTCCCTTATATTAATGAAAAAACTTAACATTTTAAGTTAACCAATTTAAATTATGGGAATGATGCACACTGTGTCAAGATAAGCTTAAAAATTACCTACAACTTACTTCTACAGCTCAATAGCAAACATCATATATATATATATATATATATATATATACATAACCTGATTAAAAAATGGGCTAAGGACTTGATTAGCCATTTCTCCAAAGACATACAAATGCTCAACACCACTAATCACCAGGGCAAAGCAAATCAAAACCACAATGAGATACCACCTCACACCTGTCAGGATGGCTATTATCAAAAAAACAAGATAACAAGTGTTGACAGAGGATGTGGAGAAATTGGAGCCCTTGTGCACTGTTGATACGAATGTAAATTGGTGCAGCCACTACAGAAAACAGTACGGAGATTTCACAAAAATTAAAAATGTAATTAACATATGATCCAATAATCCCATTTCTGGGTATTTATCCAAAAGAATTAAAATCAGAATCTTGAGTAGATAGTCACACACACATGTTGATTGTAGTGTTATTAACAATAGGCAAGATGTAGAAACAACCTAAGTGTCGATCAATAAATGAATGGACAAAGAAAATGTAATATATACATACAACAGAATACTACTCAGTCTTTAAAAAGAAGAAAATTCTGCAATATGTGACAACACAGATGAACCTGGAGGACATTATGCTGAGTGAAATAAGCCAGTCACAAAAAGACAATTACTATATATGACTCCACTTATATAAGGTACCTAAAATAATCAAATTCATAAAATCAAAGAGTGGAATGGTAATTGCCAGTGGCTGGGAGGAAGATGAAATGGAGATCTATTAATCAACAGGCATAAAATTTCAGTTAAACAAGATGAATAAGTCTAGAATCTGCTATACAACATTGTCCCTATAGCCAACAATAATCTATTGCACACTTAAAATTTTGTTAAGGAAGTAGATCCCAGCTTGTGTTTTAACACAATAATTTTTTTTTTGAAAACCACATGCATAGCTGGAAGAAAAATTACCTACAAGTAAATATTGTATGATTCTCAGAACTTTTACTATATCTTAATTTCTCAATTTTTTTTAAAAGACATTTACAGAGTACATACAGAGTGTCAAATACCAAGTAGGTGCTGAGGCTCTAAGGATGCCTAAGAAATGTTCCTTGCCTTCAGGGAGATTTCCAAGATTCCTCAGGCTTTTGGAAGCCAAAATTATTTTTCCTAGTTTGTCAGCATTGATGCAACAGACCTTTCCTAGCTCCCATTTTTGTTTTCTTTTTTCAGGCTTGGTTTTAAAATTGCTTCCAAGTATACATTATTTTATCTTTATAATTATAGTCTAATATATGATCTATGCTCTTTGAAACATAATGCTTATTAAAAAAATAAGAGAAGCCCTTCCTTTCCTTTCTTCCACACCATTGGTCTTCCACAAACTTAACCTTAACTTCCCAGCTCCCTGACCTCATGTTCCACAGGCTAATGAGAACCTTCCTAGGCTACAACAGTACGTTCCTCACAAAGGGCATAAATCTTTCATTTCATAGCAATATGGTATGTATTAATGTTAAGTTTCAGATGTACATGAGACATTCAGGAGGTGACATCCAGTTGATAGTTCAATGTTTCTCAAAGCTTTACGTACATCATCATCTAAGAAGCTTTAGAAAATGCAGATGCCCAAGTATCTCCCCCCACACCCACCCCCAGCCTTATAAACCAGGTTGGTTGTCTGGCGTTGGACCCTGAAGCTGCACATGGGATTCTAATCACAGGGATAAAAATTGCTGAGGTAATTTAATATACTGTCTAGAGCTTAAGTTTTACTTTTTTAAATTTGGGTTTGAGAATCATTACTATTCAGGTGGTAGTTGAAGTCCTGGATATGAATGAGAATACCCAGAAAGAGAGGAGAATGAGAGAAAAGCTGATGAAGGACAGAGAAAGACTATGCACCATCCCAGCATTAATAGTGGAGTCCCAGTAAAGGGGAACAAGAAAAAGTCACTTGCAAGATGGAAGAGTTGAGAATGTCATGAAAGCCAAGGTAGAATTGATGATAAGGATGCTGGAAGACAGAGTTGAGAAAAGAGAGAACTAGTAGCCTAATTGTTTGAGAAAGTTGGTATGAAACCTGAAGCACCTCACAGGAGATTCATCTTAAATACCAGGAGGACAGAGAAAGTAAGAAAAAAACAAAAGAGGAAAGAGGTAGGTAAGTTGATAATGAAAGGCATAATTGAGGGGACATTGATTTATTTTGTAGTAAATAGCTTCAAGTTTCTTTGTGAAGAAGGAAAGGAATTTCCTGAGAGCGACACGGTCGAGGGTAGTCCTTGAAAGGAATGGAAAAAGCGTGAATCAGAGACCCCAAAAGAGATTGGATTGTGTCGTTTTCTACAGAAGTTCTCCACATCTCAGGTGTAGGTGCAGGAGAACTAATTAATTAGTTACAGCAGATTTGCAAGATTGCATGAAGATGCAGTGGGGTGGGATGGGGTCAAGAAAGTAAGAAAGTTGAGGGGCCGCCATGAGAGAGGCGGAAGTGGTAAACAATGGAATTCAGGCTCCATTGGAAAGGAAATGAAACCATGGAGATAAAAGGAAGGGTTCAAAGAGCAAATGTAATGTCAGTAAGGAAAAAAGAGCTGGAGACGGGAGGAGTTCCAAAAGTAGTCCATAAGTGTTTAACATTTCAGAGGTAGAGCCAGTCTCAAATGGCCATGGGGATGAGCTTTGAATATAGGATGGTCAAAGCATTTTGAGCTTGGGTTGCTGGGAGGGACATTTAGTAATACAATTTTGATGTCCCCCAGGATCGAGGATAGGACAGGAATGGAAAGAAAGGCTACAAGCCAGGGCTAAAATCCTCAGTGACCAAGGGGAAGAGGACACAAAGAGAAGGGATGGAGAGAGCTGAGCTGATGGCATGAGTTTTGAAGGACAAGGGTTTTTATATGTGTTTGAAAGTCAGTGTCCAGCAGCAGCAGTGAGTGAGAAAAATGCCAAATGCCATTTTCCTACTACGCTCCATCCTCCATGCTGTAGATCCCAGGGCTTTCCAACACACATCTGTTATTTCCTTCCTCTTTTGAAAATTTGTCACGATTCCCATCAGCCTCTGAGTAAACACAGTCTACGAGGTCACCATGACTGAGCCCAGCTTCACTTCCTTCTCTTACTCGGAGGGTCATGGCGACAGCTTGTCGCACCCCCAGCACCTGCGGGTCCTTTCGCCTGTGACCTTTTCTCCTTAGACTCTCTCTCAGCCCAGAAATGACACCCTGAAAGCCCGTCCTGACCCCAAGGCCTAATTCATTGCTGGTCCAATATTCTAATATCCTAATTCATTGTTGGCCCTTCTAGCACCCACCCAACTGTCTTACAGCACTTTCCACATTGTACAGTGATCAACAATATAGCAGTCTCTTCCTCTAGTAGGCTGATCACCTTGGGAACAACCGCTAAGTGTTTTACTGCTCTCTGGATCTTCAGCCTATCGCCCTGTGCCTGAAACATAGCAAGCACTCGGTAAACATTGACCAAAGTGACATGTGCTTACTAAGCTACTGAGCCGGTTCCTGTCATAGGACAGCTTTGGTTTATAGATGATTCATAATCTCACAGTCACCACAAACCCACACACAGTTTCCAAGAATGACTGTAACGATCCAGTTCCCAAATTGACATACAACTAACAGTGTGTTAGGGCCTCATCCTAACGCTTGTAGAGAGGAGACAAAATTACATCTTTCCGGAAGCAAAAGAAATTCCTCTTACGCTGCTCCCTTTCAATGGCTTTTGCCACCACTAGCAGCCTCCCAGCAAAAAACTTTGATTTTCTTGCAGCTTCTATATTGAGCCAACCAAGCCTCTGAAGGGGTGCTGGCCACCTTCCAGGAGCATCCTAGTCCTGTCTTTGCTGATTATGAACCTTGGGCTCTGCTGCAAACACACTCCTCTGTGGACGGGAGACCAAAGGCAGAACAGATGGAAGATCCGACCACAAGTCTTTGAAAGGAGGTAAGGCGAAGCCACCCCCTATCACTGCCCTCGATTCTGCATTTGCTGTCTATATGTTCCATGCAGGGTAAGCAAACTCCAATTCGTTATTATTATTATTATTATTATTATTATTATTATTATTATTTGTGTATACTATATCTGCCTTGGTTCTTCTTATCTCTTTGTCAAACTGTATTCATTGAGGTTCTGGCCACCAAAATTGCTACTAGCTGATTGCTCCTGGCATAGGTAGGAATCTTGCTGGCCGACGTGAGAAAGTCATTACCATCCCCCACTCTGCCAAGAAAAAATACCCACCATTTTCTGAAACCTCTAATGCTACTGCTATGTAGGCCGATAAAGTTCACATCAAGGTTATGTACTGTGTTCATAAAAATATACGTTTTTTAATAAAAATAGCCCCTGGAAGGCAATTCCATCAATTGCCATATTTTGTAATACAAAGAAGACACATTTTTTGGAAGTGCCCCTCATGTTTTGTCAACTTTATTTAAAGAAAAGATTAGCCCAAAAAAGCAAGATCAATGCTAATCCTTACTTCCCATCCCTGAATTTAATGCTGTAGTCATTTATTTTTATAAATAGAGCCATTTGCATTCTTTCACTGGAGACAACCTCAGCTAGTTTATAATGTTAAGAAGCCAAAAAGTTGTCTTTCGCTCTTTCATCTTCTAAACTTAAAGTCAGATCTAAACTCATGGGGAGAGGCATCTGAGGCAAGTGGCACCAAAGATTTTATTAATATGCATCCAATTCCTGGGCTCTCCCTCACTTTGAAACTTGAGCACTTAACATAGTTTTGACAATGGTTGTTTGGCCAAGGTTTTTAATTGAGTCTAGCCACTGCCCTTTTGGCCACAAGTTTACAAGAAAAAGGACAGTGGTGAGAGTGGGTTCATCAGAACCCCCAGACATCCTTGTGGAAAAACTCTCTCCCCAAGGAATTTGGTCCGTGCCCTTGAGCATTCCAAAGTCTGCAACTTTCCATGGCTACATATGGCCCATTGACAGTTAGCAGCTGTCAAGCGGACAGGCCGAGCACACCCAGCTGGTCAATTGAGGCCACGTCTAGACAAAATGAATAGACACAGCTCATCGGTTCCATTTGGCCATCCCAGCGATTGATGCAGATCAGCCCGGGGCTCCCTGCAACTGCAAAGATGAGCGTGGGAGCATGGCACTCGTCAGAGGTGAGCAGACAGCCCCGCCGAGGTCCTGGCTAACCAGGGTGAGCTCCACACACTGTGCTGACAAAAGGGAAGACCCTTTCCAGAACCACTGTGATCCACCTTCATTGCAGTCAGTGGCTCATTTTGACCTCAAGCCCCCACCGCCGAACAGTCCATCTCAGGAAGCTCTTTTCTAAAATCACCTTGCTGAGCATCGTGTCTAGCAGAAGAAACTCAATGCTCCAAAGTCAAGAGTGTCTTCCCATATTGAAGAGTTCCTATGGTAGGAAAGGAATATTTTTTTAAAAACCTGAGTAAGTAGTGACTTTCCCCCAGCTGCCATCACATGACGTATATTAAAGAGAAAAAAAAAACCTGCAAAGCATAATACAGTCAAAAATATAAAATGTAACTGAACTGACCATTCCACCTTCTGCCTAAACTTTACAATACTAAAAAAAAAAAGAAAACGTCCACAAATCTCGCCTGAAGAATTTCAAAAATCATCACAAAATCCTGCCTCAGATATAAAATATTTCTTTATAAACTAATTAGCAATTTCAGTGACAGGCTAGCTTTTGTTAGGGATAAAGAAAACTGGCTATCAAAATAGTTCCGGCTTGCTTCAAAAGAGAAAAAAAGGCAGAAGACGCCACAAAATCGGCTCAAGGAAACAACAGTTGTATGGCGTCCTACAACTCTAGGGCCAAAGCTCCAAGCTTCTCACCAAACATGTGGCTCCATGCAGAAATATGCCAAAACAGCACAGTTTGGGCTCATTGTATCCCAATTAATACTATAATGAGCTTCCTTAGATAGCCGAAGCCTTAATCAGCCCTATCAAAACTATGCTCAGAAAAAAACTCATGTTAATTCTGCTTAATGCCTGACAGTGGTTAAGCACCATTAATACTCCATAATTTCATTGTATGTTATTGTAATCATATCAGCATATATCTCAGTGGCCACACAAGGCTCAATAGGCTGCCGTGAATTACAGGTCACGTGACTCTGCTTCAGTAAGAGACTATCTTCCATCACAGCCAGACCTCCTTTGCCCTCCCCGCAGTCAGTAGCCTAAGCAGGTATTAATAAAGGTCTCCTTTTTTAAATTGCACAGCTCTAAATGGTCTTTAAGGGACCCAGCAGTAATCTCAAGATTCCTATATTTTAGCAGGAAAGCAGGACAGAGGAATTAATAAGAGCCCTTTCTGTGTAAACTGCTCCCTGCTCTAAGGCTATAGCGTGATGTCAGGGCGCTAAGAGAATTTTAAATGCACAGGATGGATTGTTTGTGTTGCAAAAGCGAAACAGGGGGCAAAGGCTAAGAGACTTGAGGAAATTGAAAGACTGCCAGGGATGCTGGGATGCAAATAGCAACAAAACAGGGATAAATGCTCCTGCTCACATATGCAGGAGTCCTGCAGAAGGGGGAGAAAAAAAAAGGTTATTAATTTTCACCAGGCTGTATCTTACAGCTGGTGGCTCAGCATCAGTTTTTGGTGTAATGAAAATGGTCTGAGCAGAAGATAAATGGTTCATAAAGTGGACCATTTAGATGCAATCGAGGCTCAATCTGCCCAGTGACTAATCACGTCCCCCCAGTAAAGCTGAATTCCACTAACAGACTTTTTTTTTTTCCCCCCCGGCTGTACCAGTGAATTGTAGCCGGGTCTAAGTTCAAGGCAGGCAGAGAATTATCTTGATTTATTAGCACACTCCCTGGCCGTGCCACTCGCTCGGCTGTGCCTTTGTGGGGCTTCTGCCCTGTTGCTGTCGCAGTGTAATTTTTACTGTTCCCCTGTGACTAGTACACAGCATCATTTTCAGCTGCTAGAAAAATGGGCTGCTTTTGCACCTGTAATTTTTCTTCTTTTGCTGCTGAAGGTATATAATATATCTCTAAAGTACGTAATAAGTTTCTGAAAAACGTGTTTTTAAAAGAAATTGATTCCAGTGGTTTATAAGCCCGAGCAAGGCCACATCAGGAAATGTTCCAGATTGCAAAGGTATGCCTGGCTAGGAAGGCAGCCATTTTTCCCCTTCCGTTTAGTGAATCCTGACTTCTGTCTAGTCCAGAGTATCATCTCAGACTTCTTTCTATACAGTAGTTGCTTCTCATAATGAACTCTGATCAAATAAAAATGCTGTTTATATTGAGACTTTACAAGTCCTGATTACATATAAAATAGAGTAGAATCCCTCATAATGACATTTAATTGTGAGAAAGAAAAGATCCCACTCGAAGAGCTTTCAGCTGCATTTGTTCAATGTTCCTTTGCATAATGCCGTTTATAGATCATTCAATTATGACATTATTATGAGCGGCATAAGAGTAACTCACTGGTTCCCCATATTTTTAGACCTATGGAAAATAAACTTGGGGACGACTTTCATTATTTTGACTGGGAGTTACCCACAAAAGGCCCTTCGTTTACATGAGGGTTGGCCACCCATTTGGCTAATGAATTCCGACACTTCACCCATAATCTCATGAGCATCTTCAGAAGGGGGATTCCTGTTGCTGAGGACACTAGGATGAGCCAAGTGAGGCTCCAAAGATTGTCACTGAATGTTATTAATAACCCAACAAATGGCGGGGGAGGGGGCCTGAGCTGGTTTCTACTGAGCCCTCGAAGGTTTTTTTTCCATTTTCTGAAGGACCTGACAGATATGATAGGTAAACTAGCAGGCAATAAGCAGGGGGGAAATGCTGCTGAAAACCTCAGTGATCATACAGCTAGGAAAGGAGCCCCAGTTTTTGGATATCTGCCTTGGCAGCCTCACTCCTTCAATAACATCCGTTTTCTGCAGGCGGCAGGAGGCGTAGATTTATTATTGTCTCTCAGACCTACATCTGTCCATTTAGCAGGGTGAGCTTTCACCTGCCCCCCTCCCCTTTTCACAGAGCTTTGACCAATTCAGCTGGGAACTGACTTTGCAGGAAAACAAATGTGCCTGTGGGATGCCGGCCACGCCCACAGTTTTGGCAGCAAAAAAATTTAAAAATAAGGTGGGGAAGCATGGCAGTTGTCATTTGCAGCCATATGTATCCATAGAACACGTCTGTAACGGCACAATCGGAGCAACCAATGCATTCTGTCGTTCACGTAACAAACATTCATAACATACGTAGTATGTGGCGAATGCTGTGATAGGTTTGCTGAACACATAGGTGAATGAGGCAGAGCCCTTCCCTCAAAAATCTGCAGTGCTGAATGACTAATGACTAAATGAATGAAATGGATATATGTGTCTGACCCATATGATGCTCAATAAGTCTGAAAGACTAAGGCCACGGGTGAGTAACCTCTGGTTCTAGTCAGAGCCACCTAGGATCAGCGTGGCTTTGGGGAAGTCACTTAACTTCTCTGTACTTTGGTCCTATAACTATAAAATAAGGATAAGGATCTTTGCCCCTCAAGATGCTTTTGAGAATTAATGAGGTGGTATTTGTACAATCGCTTTGATGCATCACAGAATATAGGGAATTATTACTATTACCTGAAAGGTGAGGGACTGTCATAGAATTGTGGACACCGTGCCCTGCCCAAGGGCACCCAGCTGAGGGGGAAGGGCAGGCTAAAATACAGCCCACTCTTGGCCCACCAAGCCATGTGATCAGGCATGGGACTGTGTCATCCCTGGAGAAGGGGCACGATTTTCTAATTTGCACAAATGCACCAAATGGGCTAGGAATAGTGTGTGCAAATGTGAAGTATGTCAAAACAGCTCTTGGAACTAGTCCATCATGGAACATTTCCATAAATTGTAAGTGCTTGAGTCCTCACTGGCTTCTGTTACGTACTACATGGGCCTTTGACACTGAGCTATAATATCTTGGAAAACTACATCTTGGTTAAGGAACACAATTTTTTTTAATGTATTTAGCCCATAAAAACACAGCCTTAATTTTTAATTCAGAAGAATATAAATGTGTATGAGTGAGAAAGTTTTCCTAAGTGAAAGCATAGCTTATACAGTGGGTGGATCAAATTCTTGAACAATATTCCTTGATTGAATGGCCCCACTGAGCATTAAATCAGTCCAATGTGATCTCAACATAGGACCTATTCAACTGCAAATGAGAATGTGTTCTAAGCCTTCTCCAAAATTCCAGACTAAACAGCCCCACCCCTGTCACTGACTCTGCCCTTGCCTGCTTTATCTTTATAGCGCTGATAAACACAGAATTATATGTTTGGTTTTGTTTACTTCTTTATTTTCTATTTCCTCATGCAGGGGACCTTGAGCAAGTCTTGGACTTGAGTTTCCTCACTGGTCAAATGGACATGCTAACACCCTACGGGACCACTAGGAGATTGTGATGGTAAAGAATCCGATAAAGGCTATGATGAGCCTTTGACAGTACGGGCCCAAGGTCCCCAAGAATGCCTGAATCCTGCCCAGACCTTAGTAACTTTTCCACACAAAGCCCCCAAGGGGCAGATATGCTCCAGTGGCAGCAGCAAATAAAATTAAAGTAACTCTTCCCCTGTGAGCCTGGAACAGTGACAGGGCCCCAAACCAATCGGTCAGTCCAGCCTGCTTGGTAGTAGAATGGCAGCTGGAAGAGATCAAGGGAGAAGGCTGACCCAGGGGAGTGTGTGTGTGTGTGTTTAATAGAGTGGGGGCGAGATTGCTGGAAGGCAGAGTAGACCAGCAGCCTGATTACTGCTTCTGCAGCTAAGAGGAAAGAAGAGCAGAGCACCAGAAAGACGCGGATCGGCGAGTCTGAATTGCAACTCACAGTGACCTCACCTGCTGGAAACATGGTGTTCTGCAATAAGACCAACAAATAGCAGCTCCTTCATGGGGTGGTGAGGTGGGGGCAGGGAGGTTGGCAGCCAAAGCGGATGGTGAATGCTTGGCCACCCACACAGAGGTCTCGAAAGCCTGACACCTACTGGGTACTCAGGACAGAACTCATCATAGAACATTTTCCAAATAAAATGGACTAAAGAGAATTCGCTCCTTTTGAGGGTGACCTTCAGGATTGGCACGTATGAGGCTGTGGTCCTCTGTGAAGGTGCCTCCCCCACGTCAGGATTATTCGGTGTCTTCGTCAGCTTGGGCTGCTATAGCAAAATATCGGAGACTGGGGGGCTTAAACAACAAACATTTCTTTCTCACAGTTCTGGAAGCTGGAGAGTTCAAGTCCAAGCTGCCAAGTGATTTGGTTCCTGGTGAGGGAACTCTTCCTAGTTTGCAGACAGCTGTCTTCTCATTGTATCCTCATACGATGGAGAGAGAGAGATAATGTCTCTCATTTCTCCTCTAAGGGCACCAATTCCATCGTGAGGGCTTCACCTTCATGGCCTAATTATCTCCCAAGGGCCCCACCTCCATCACATCAGGGATTAGGCTTCTACATATGAATTAGGGTGGGGGAGGGGACACAAAAATTCAGTCCATAGCATCCATTCTGATATTTTTGGTTTTTTATTTATAATTGGCAATAATGAAAAATAAAGTTACACTATCTCAGAACTTGCATTTTCTTAAGAATGTTCAAAAAAGAGAAAGGCATGGGGGTTTTGGCTGATATTTGTGTGGAAAGACAAGTACTTATTGTTTCTACCATCTAAGTCATAGACAACTAAATGGCTTACCAGTTTTGTGTTGCAAATAAAATCAACACTTCTCTCTAGAAGTTATCAGCTTGTCTCGAAAAACACTTGGATTAATCCAGTATCTACTTGTCTCTATGTTACGATAATCATGACAACTGGGTAAAATATTTATCAATAGAAAATTGAATCCAAATACACACTAAAACACTCACTGAGCCACTTTTTCAAGCCAGTAGGAATTAGTCATAAGACCGACATTAGAGGTAGTATATCTTCCTACACTACAAATAGTGGAGCTCGATAGGTAAACTGGGTCTGAGAACAGAAACAGGGATTCAGAATTCACATTGACAGAGACTCTCCTGTCAGCACTTTACACATTCATGGGTCCTGTATGTTTCTGTGAACCTCTTTATATATACTGGTGTGACAATGTATTTGTCCTGACAGTAGGCGCATGCGTGCGTGCACAAGCATATGACTGTGTGTGTGTGTGTGTGTGTGTGTGTGTGTGTGTGTGTCAGGAGGATGGGGGCAGGGAGAGTATGTGTTATTCATGCCGGGACACAAGTATGCTAATGGGCTAATTATTTATTGATTTGACAACTAAAGATGATTTTTTAAAGCCCAATTGACCACAAATTATTGACTTTTTTTCCCTGTACTTAGGAAAACTGTTCTTTAAGTGGAAAATTATATTAACAATAATAATAGAAATAATTAGCATCGTTCCAAAACCTGGTATCTCAATTTTGTCTTCATATAGTGCCATGTCCTATTACTGTCACATTTCTTACAAATTAATCCACATGTAGTTTCATTTTTTTCCAGCTTGGCAAATGAGACGATTTAGCCAAAGCCTTATGGGCTCCATTCTCTCCCTACCTAGAATCCAGGTTGAAAATAAGAACTAACTGAACAACCAGACAAGAACTTAGGAAAACCTCCAGTTTTCAGGTTCTACTTTTGTTCGAGTTTTCTAACGGACAATGGCTGACAAGTCTAAAGAAGTACAGGGTACGCAAGCAGAAAGACACGGGGGATTTATTTACTTATTTATTTATTTATTTTAAGATTTTTATTGGGGAATTGGGGAAGGGGAACAGACAAGTTGCTGTCCTTTTGTTCTTCAGTCTAGTTGTGGAGGACGTTGTTTCACTGGCCCAAGTTGGCACCATCATTGCGCTCTTCCCGGGTGAGGCAGATCAGTTGCTGGCTTCTGGATGGCCGCTCACTGTGGCTGCTGGCTACACACAGTAGCCCATGGCAACCCACTGCAGCAGGCGTTGCAGCCTAGGCCATCGCCAGCGACTCATGGCAGCCCAGCTTCAAGTTGAGCTGTTGTTCAGCATCTTAGCTGCAGAGGGCAGTGTCACTGGCCCTCATATGAGGGATCCGAACCGGGGCCCTCTGGCGACCCAAGCCAGCTCTTAACCAATGTGCCACTCGGCCGGCCCAAGATACAGGGGATTTAAATCAGAGGTTCCAATGCTTACAACATGAACCTACAGCTGCTACTATCTAACTTGGTGGCAATATTCAAAACTACTTCCCACCCCGCCTCCCACACACACACAGACTGGGTCAGGGAGGGGAATGGGGAGGAACCCAAGGAATCCTACCTGGCAGCAACATTTTCCCTTTCTGCTGCTCCTCCAATCACGAGTTCAGCAGGAGAGCCTTACCTGCAGGTTCAAAAACCAAGGTCCGTCCTCAATCCCTATTTGTTCTTGTCTGGGATGTAGCTTTTCCTGCTAAGGGGGGGAGGGGGGGAAGGCAGATGCTCATCAGATACCTTGTCCTTCTACTGAGATTTCCAAAGTACTGGTATGGCCCATACCTTGCAGAGGCAAGAACAGTTTAGGATGAAAAAAAATCACTACATCCACGATCTTTATTCATGTCTCGAAAATCAAACATCCTGATAGTATATGTACTGCAAACCCTCAGATTGAGTATAGGAGGGACCCAAGGTCATGTGATATTTTAAGAACATTCAGATCCCTCCTCCGGACACTCCTGGGTTTGAGAGGATGCATTCTGTACTCGCTAATTATTTCATCGCGGACCTGAACTCTACAGTTCTCAGGAAGAATTTTATTCTAACCAAAGCATTCAAATAATGTGTGGGAAGAGTATCAGGGAAGGAAGTAGAAATTCTGGAATCTCTGAGTCATAGTCAATATTTTTATGAACCTGGTTGCTATCACCTCCTAAGGAAGAACCACCGTGTGACTCAAAGTTCTACATTTGAGCAGTTGCAAATACCAGTTCCTACAAAGTTAGCAACCAGAAAGAACTGACGTCTTCCCCTTGCTACCCTTGATTCTCAACGAGGGAGAATTTATCAGATATTGAGGTGATACTCAACACCTGATGGAACCTGCCTCTCTCAGGAGATTTTACCCAAGCAGCGTCAAAATAGGATCTGCCTGCAGAGGGTCAAGTTTCTTTTTATGGGCGAGAGGTAAAGGCAGTCCTACTCACAGCGGTAAGCGAGGAATCTTAAAGTTCCACTGTAATGGCGAACACTTGGGAAAAGCAATGCTCCTAGCTTGGAGGTTTAAAATCACTGTTCAAACAACTGACCAGTCCTTTCAGTCAACAGATCTCTGTTGTGTACAAACCATGTGCCAGCCACTGTTCCAGGTGCTTAAGATAGATCAGTGAGCAAAATAGACCAAACCCCTGCCCTCATGAGCAAAAAAACTCTTGGTTAATAGATTTGATAACAACATCCCAACCCCAGCATCCCCACGAAAGTTGTTACCAAGACAACCCAATTCCATTTTGTTCATTTCCAAGCTTTGCTTACAAAGGCATTTTAATACATATTTTGATGTGGTGATAAAAATGGCAGCAGTGGCATAGAACACTAGTCTTCTATTTCTGCAGGGCTGAAACTGTCAACTCAGTGAACTAATGAAAATTTCAAATGTTATATTTGGAGTGAATTCAGCCAAACCTACCATGAACCAATTCCAGGAATGAAGTGCACAGGTGAGAGTTCAAAACCTCAGTCAATCGTCACATGGCAGCAGTTCTGATAGAGACGCTATCCCTCTGCATGTTGGACTTGAGACCACCACCTCACCCCCACAGACCGTGCCCACACAAGGGTGGAAAGTAGCCTGTGGGGGTCTTTGCGGGTTCCGGTTGGATGTCAGCCAGCCATTCAGAGGTGAAAGTGATCTAGCCTCTGATCACCCCCCACCACCTCCAGCCATCCAGTTCCCTGAGAGGTAAAATGGCTTGCCTGTGCTGGTCACATTCCTCTTTTCCGCCTTCATTTTTCATTTATCTTTATCAGTGGATGTCTGGAAAACCTAATTGCTGTTATTTCCATCTTGATCAGGCTAATAGGTATCCGAGAGGAAAAAGCTTTTTAATCCCCTCCCTGAATTTACAAAAAATAATAATAATAACAATAAAATAAAAGCCTACGTTGATAAGGGAAATATAACTCGGTCTTTTGCCTTAACAAAATTTGCTTTCATTAAAACAGAATATGCAGCATAGCTCCATGATTACTTTGGTATGTTGCATTCACCAGCATAAATAAACCTACCGCTTTTGAGCTGGGAAGGCTGCTATTTTAAAGATGAAAAAATTTCAGCTTCTGGATGGCTGCTTTCATTTAACACAGCTTCAAATGAATTTATGAACTGTTCTATAATGTTTTCTGCATACACCAAATGGCAGACGTTAGGCAGAAACCCAATATATGTTTAGTTAGTATATAATAAACATAATATTTACATGGGCTATGCACTGTGTTAAGAATCAAGAGCAGTTGCTCTATAAACTGTTATTGAATTCTCTAACACAGAGCTCTAAACCAAGTGGTCCATCAAGATTCCAGAAGAATCTTCCAGAAGAGACCCTGACCTACTCCAAGTACACAGACACATGTGTGATTCTTGGCACACACATGTGGGCATGCAAACCTATGTCTCCTTCATTTAAAAAAAAAACCCTTTAATCAAAATCTTGACAATAATCTCATTTTCTTTGGCCTCTAGGATGACAGTATAGTTTAAGATATTGTTTTTAACTGTAAATGTGTCTCTGTGGTTTTGAAGAATGTTTCAGGGGCTAAAATATATATAGATATATATATTTTAAAATCCAGTAGATAAAATAGCCAGTTCATTTCTTAAGCAATAAACAGAAAACGGGGGGAGGGGTGCTGAATAAGCATGCTTATATGGAATTTTTCTTTGAAAAGCCCACTAGTTAGGCACTATAACACTTCAGTTGATATTTCTACAGTGCAAACACGATAGTGGAAATTAAGTTGCCCCAGCAAATTCAGTTTAGTGGAAATTTGTTATGAATAAAATGCTGCTGTTGGCTCTAGAACATTGAATTTATCCACCAAATAATATCTCAAAAATACCACTTCAGAAGAAATCAGCTCTAAATAATTGATAAATTTGGTTTGTTTAGAAACCTTTTGACCTCTGTAATAGAAAGTAAAAACACATTGCAGTTATTAAAGTCACATATATTCCCTCTGGTCAGGGGAGCTTTTAATTTTAAGCTGGACTCCACAGGGGCCATTTGATAAAGCTTAGAGAAATTTTTCAACTGCTGCTGTTGGATTTGGGTCAACCTCCTTTGGGAAAATGGAAAAAGATAAATTTGTAGCTTTTCATAATACGCGAGAAAACTTCAGAGATTCTAAACCTTAATACCTATTGGAAGTGCAAGAGTTTTTGCGGTAGCCCCTTATTACTAGCTTTTGTTCCCCAAACTCTCTTTTTCTTACTCTTCTTTCTCCCTTTTCTTTTCAAAGAAGGTGTAAATGCCCACGCTGTTAAAATAAAGGAACAGAGAATGAGCATTTCTTATTAATGTAAGACATTTCTTTTTAGATAAAAACTACAACTCTTATCTGCCATATATAGTGCAATTCTGAAGTTTCACAGAGAAAATAGCAAGATACTATTTATTTTCTTACTGAAAGTTTTTTTTCAAATACACTTATTAAATAAGTAATTTCACTGGCTACTTACCTTTTATAGTAAAAGCAGAGCTTAGTGAGTGATCTCTAACATGACTTACCATGTCGGAAAAAATGCACAATACAAAGGGTTTACATTCTATAACATTAATGCCAATATCATTATTAATACATACTTTAAAACAGAGTCTTCTTTACGATCAAGAAACCAAAG